AAAGGATGTTTGGAAGGAACCGATCTTTTTCCAAAACCATTCTCTGTCTCCACTTTTCCACATGCCCTCTGCATGAACTCAACATCTGTGGCACAGCTGATTTACACATGCCGCATGGCCTAATGCTACCCTAGCCAACTCATGCAAACTGCAAGGATAAACACAATCGTGTCAGTTGAGGACATTCCATCATATATATGAATGGTTCATTTAAAAGGTGTTGAAATTCTTATTCAAGTGAGGTCGAATTTAGACTAGGACCATGGGTAAAGAGGGCCCTGCCTGGTAGGCATTATGCGAACAGCCCAAATGTTTCAGATTAGAGAAGACGCTCAACAGAATGAAGACAGGCAACAGAGGCTTTACTTATGATCTGGACAGACAGGATGCATGCATGACTAGTAGGATCCGACTTTGTTGTTCATTCGTTCAGTCGTTTCCGACTCTTTGTGACCTCATGGACCAGTCCACGCCACAGCTCCCTGTCGGCCATCACCACCCCCAGCTCCTTCAAGGTCAATCCAGTCACTTCAAGGATACCATCATCCATCTTGCCCTTGGTTGGCCCCTCTTCCTTTTTCCTTCAATTTTCCCCAGCATAATTGTCTTCTCTAAGCTTTCCTTTCCTTTCTAATTACTGTTAGTCCTCGTAAGTCAGATGAAGTTTGTTAAATCCATACTTGCGACACAATATCCAACATGTAGGATGTCCTGCATCAAAAACTTAATAATCGAAACTTACCCAATAGTTTTTTGTTTGAATTTTGTAAACCTCAAAAGCCTCCCAAAGTCAGTTCCATTTTCAGCACAAGGAAGCAAAACAAAACCATAAGGATTGCCATTCCTCTTTAAATTAATGGCCTATTTCCATTAGGAAAGGGAAGTAGCAGGGAGAAAGCAGTTTGCTGGGAAAGAGACTGAGAAAGCACAGAATTCTGGGAAATGTAGTTTGGGAAGGCGAGGAGCCCAATGGCAGATAATTTTAAAAGCCCTGCCCTAAACTACATTTCATAGAATCATAGAGTTGGAAGAGACCACATGGGCCATCCAGTCCAACCCCTTGCCAAGAAGCAGGAAAAATTGCATTCAAAGCACCCCTGAAGCATTCAAAGCATTTCCCAGAATTCTGCTCAGGATGAGAAAGCCTCAATCAGGATAGGGGGGAGGTGTTTACTTCCTTAACAGCAGCCAGCCAGAGTTCCAATAAACTGTTGAATCTGCAAAAATGACTGATACTTCTAATAAGTACATCTCCGTGCTTTTCTGGGAAGAAATGCCTAAATGGAAGTTCTATTGGTTAATATGAGAAACACTCAATGAGACAACTGTTGTGTCTTTAAAAAATGTTTTTGTCAAAACTTTTTAAAATCCATAAAATCAGTAGATGTAGATGAATATTTCTGAGAATGATTCCTTGTTATCTTGTGTCATTGTATAGATAGCTTTTGTAGTTTTTTAAAAATAAAAATATTGTTTATAAAACTTTGCATATTCCCCAAAAAATTGTGGATAAGTGAAACGTTCTGAAACTTGATGGGCTAACAGTGGTAAATGTGCTCTACCATTGTAAGTTTCACCCCAGTTGCTGTAAAAATGAGGGAGAAAGGAGCCCCTGAAGTTTCACCACTGGCACAATTACTATAATGAAAAAGTAACAAAATTCCGGTACTCTCATTATAGTAGCAAAATTTTAAGTAATGATACTTTAGAAACAAAACGCTGGCATCCCCTAATTTTGTAATGAGTTTTGAAACATTTTTTTTCATCAATTGCACAGGTCTAATGGCTAGTCCCGAAAATACAAGCATAAACATACAGAGAAATACATGATATCTTATACATTTCCGATTGCTATTCAGACTTCCCGCCCCCTTCCCTGGTTGGCCAGAAAGGAGGCTGGGTAGGATCCATGCCAGGATTGGTTGACAGGGGAGAAGGGCAGCTTTGAAGGACCGGTCAGCTGCAGAACTGCCCCCCTGGGAGGGCACAGTCTGGGAAACACAGAGTAAGGATATGTTGATGGCTTTTGATGGGCTCAAGTGTCCAGTTCCATGGCAAACAAAGGTAGGAGCTTCAGAAAACAAAGGTGTTAGAGATGTCGATTTTGGGTACTCAAATACTTGGCTGTCAACAAAAGAGGTACATTATAAGCCCCTGTTTTTGTAGGCAGACAAACAGCTAGACAGATAGATTTGGGTTTAGCAGGAGATCACCTATCTTTGCATATACAGTAGAGTTTCGCTTATCCAACTTTGCTCATCCAATGTTCTGTATTATCCAACGCTGTCTGCCTTCCATCCGGATCCACAGCAGTTTCAATACATTGTGATGTTTTGGTACTAAATTTGTACATACAGTAATCACCACATAACATTACCGTGTATTGAACTGCTTTCTCTTGCCGATTTGTTGTAAAACATGATGTTTTGGTGCCTCATTTGTAAAATCATGACGCAATTTGACATTTAATAGGCTTTTCCTTAACCCCTCCTTATTATCCAACATTTTCACTTATCCAGCGTTCTGCTGGCCCTTTTATCTTGGATAAGTGAGACTCTACTGTATATAAACACTGGGTCTGGCAATTGCTTTAGCTTTAAAAAAGGCCCACCCTTCCTACCCAGGAAATCTCTCTGCCAAGAGGCGAATATCTCTGGGAGCCCTTCCAGACAGGCCCTATACCCTAAGATCTGATCCCAGGTTTTCTGTTTATAATAATAATAATAATAATAACAACAACAACAACAATTTATTTGTACCCCACTACCATCTCCCCATGGGACTCTGTGCGGCTTACATGAGGCCGAGCCCAAACACAACAATACGAGCAATAATAACAACAATACAAGCATTTAAAATAAAAACATAGACAATAAAATATACAACATTATCAATAAGCAATTAAAAACAGTGGGAAGGCCAAATGTAGAGTTAAAATCGGAAATAATGCTGGGACATGGATGAAAAGGTGATACTGGGGTTTGTGGAAGGGCATACGAGCAGACCTAAAAAAATGTAAAGTGCTTTGGAGGACAAAGTGCTATGGGATCATTATTCTGGGAAGGCACACTGGAACAACCACGTCTTCAAGCTCCTCCTAAAGACTGCCAGAGTTGGGGCCTGTCTGATGTCTTTAGGGAGTGCGTTCCAGAGTCGAGGGGCCAACACCGAAAAGGCCCTCTCTCTCGTCCCCACCAACCGCACCAACGATGCTGGTGGGATCGAGAGCAGGGCCTCTCCGAATGATCGAAGGGATCGTGTGGGCTCATATACAGAGATGCGGTCACACAGGTAGGCGGGTCCCAAAACGTTCAGGGCTTTGTAGGTAAGGCCCTGCACCTTGAATTGGGTCCAGTAGGTTTTTTCAATGTTCAATGACAGGCCGAGCTTCTCGTATGCTTCTGCGAAGGTGTTTAGAGTGGCTTGTATTTATTATTTTATTTATTTATTTATTTATTTATTTACTTTATTTATATACCGCTTTTCTCAGCCCTCAGGCGACTCAAAGCGGTGAACAACATCGATACAAAACATCACGAGACAAGTATAGGGCAATTAAAAACAATTGTAACATAAATAATTAAACATCCGTATAACAATCATTAGCGCCTCAACAGTAAAATCAGAATCCAGTCTCATCATCCATTATTCCGTATTCCTATGTTCAATTACACTGTTTAATCAAATGCTTGTTCGAACAGCCAGGTCTTCACTTTCCTCCGAAACGCCAGCAGGGAGGGGGCCAATCTGATATCTGCAGGCAGGGCGTTCCACAGCCGAGGGGCCACCACTGAGAAGGCCCTGTCTCTCGTCCCCGCCAAGCATGCCTGTGATGCAGGCGGGACCGAGAGCAGGGCCCCCCCCAGATGACCCTAGTGTCCTAGTCGGTTCATAGGAGGAGATGCGTTCAGAGAGGTAAGTAGGGCCAGAACCGTTTAGGGCTTTATAGGCTTTATATTATATTAAACTGGAAAATAGAGGGAGAAAATGTGGAGGCCGTGACAGACTTTGTATTTCTAGGTGCAAAGATTACTGCAGATGCAGACTGTGGCCAGGAAATCAGAAGACGCTTACTTCTTGGGAGGAGAGCAATGTCCAATCTCGATAAAATAGTAAAGAGCAGAGACATCACACTGGGAACAAAGATCCGCCTAGTCAAAGCCATGGTATTCCCTGTAGTAACCTACGGATGTGAGAGCTGGACCTTAGGGAAGGCTGAGCGAAGGAAGATCGATGCTTTTGAGCTGTGGTGTTGGAGGAAAGTTCTGAGAGTGCCTTGGACTGCGAGAAGATCCAACCAGTCCATCCTCCAGGAAATAAAGCCCGACTGCTCTTTGGAGGGAAGGATACTAGAGACAAAGTTGAAGTACTTTGGCCACATCATGAGGAGACAGCAAAGCCTAGAGAAGACAATTATGCTGGGGAAAGTGGAAGGCAAAAGGAAGAGGGGCCGACCAAGGGCAAGATGGATGGATGGCATCCTTGAAGTGACTGGACTGACCTTGAAGGAGCTGGGGGTGGTGACGGCCGACAGGGAGCTCTGGCGTGGGCTGGTCCATGAGGTCACGAAGAGTCGGAGACGACTGAACGAATGAACAACAGGTTTTTTCAATGTTCAATGACAGGCCGAGCTTCTCGTATGCTTCTGCGAAGGTGTTTAGAGTGGCTTGTAGATCTTCTTCTGAATGCGCACAGACAACGTTGTCATCAGCATACTGGAGTTCATATAGTATGGTAGGAACTGTAGTTAAAGGGAGGGGTTCTTAAAATGCTCAGCCGGAGAGGCCCTGGTGCTCACTGAACTACAAGTCACAGAAAACTTGAGGAAGGAGGCAGCCACAGGATTTAAGGTGGATAGACAGATGCAGCCCTCAGCATAGGGAATGACCAAACATCCTTGCAATACCGGAAGTAACACTCCAGCCAAGACCTGAAAGGGCAGCTCCCTTCCTTCCTGTAAACAGCCAGCTCTGCCCCTTTAAGGAGAAAGCGGCGCGCGGACTCCAGGGGTGGGCGGGGCTTCCCCAGAGCCAGCCCCTTTCCCTTCCGCGTGGAAGGCGCGAACCCGGAAGGAGGCGATGGCGGCGCGCGGATCGGCCCTGGCCTTGTATCCAAAGAGAAGGCGGGGCCAGTCTCAGGGGGTCAATGGCAGCAAAGCTGGGGAGGGGGGGCGGAGGGGGGGGGGGGAAACAAACTCCTGTGCTTAACTCTAGGACAAATGAAGCTTGCCATAGAGTCCTGGGAGTTGCAGTTCGGTGAAGGAAGCTCCATCCCTCTTTGGCCTTGTGAAATGGGAAGCTTCCCTCCAGAAGCTACTTCATCTCAGTTCAACAATATGGTAGCCCTACTGTTGAACTGACATCTGGAAGAGTTAAAGCAGGGGTAACATAGCCTTCTATGGCTGGATTGAAACTCCCTTTATCCCTCATCATTGTTGGTGTTGCTTAGGATTAATGGGGTTACATCTAGACTGTCAGATCTTCCTCACTTCTGAAGTAGTCTCTTTCTAGGTGCATCTACACTAGGATGAATGCAATTTAGATTGGACTACTGTAATGCGCTCTACGTGGGGCTGCCCTTGAAAACGGCTCGGAAATTTCAACTGGTCCAACGGGTGGTGGCCAGGATGTTAACTGGTGCTCCCTACAGAGAGAGGTCAACCCTCCTGTTTAAGGAGCTCCATTGGCTGCCGTTTATCTTCCGAGCCCAATTCAAGGTGCAGGTGCTTACCTACAAAGCCCTGAACAGTTTGGGACCTGCCTACCTGCGTGACCGTATCTCTGTGTATGAACTCACGCGTTCTCTTCGTTCATCCAGAGAGGCCCTGCTCACGATTCCACCTGCGTTGCAGGCGTGTCTGGTGGGAACGCGAGACAGGGCCTGATTGTAGGTGAACTATACATCCCAGTAACTACAACTCGCATATGTCGAGGTCTATTTTCCCCCAAGAGCACTTCAAGAGCGCCCCTGGGCAAATGCTTACTTTGTGTAATGGGTTGAGCCGCCCCTGACCATACTTGGCATGAATATTCAGTGTGCCCATATATGAACACAGATGGAGTTTGGGGGAAATAGACCTTGACATTTGGGATTTGTAGTTACTGGGATTTATAATTCACCTACAATCAAAGAGCATTCTGAACCCCACCAACGACAGAATTGGGGCAAACTTCCCACACAGAACCCCCCCCCCCCATGCCCACCAGAAAATACTTAAGGCCATCCAGTCCAACACCCTTCACCAGGGCAAGAAAATGTCAACAAAACCCTCCTGACAAAGAGCCATCCAGTCATAGATATAGAGAGATATATATGATTCACACACACACACACACACACACACAGATATAGTATCATAGACTTGAAAGGGACCCCTAAAGAAGGACAATTATATGTTGCATGTTCCAGAGTAAGCAAATCAGACAATCTCTATGTCAACACTGACAAAGAAACAACAAGAAATACTGTTTAGCCACAAGCATAAAGAAATTGCTTATACTGTATTAGAAACCAACACTTTCTCATTACTTTATTTTCCAGATCACCAGACTGGGCCACAGCAACGCGTGGCAGGGGACAGCTAGTAATAGTAATAATAATAATAATGATAATAATAATACTTTTTTTATACCCCACCACCCTCTCCCAAAGGGGACTCGGGGCAGCTTACATGAGGCCAAGGCCAGCAATACAACAATGCAAATATACTACATAAAAGTACAACAATAACATATAAGAAAATAAGGTTAAATACAAGGAACAATATAAATAAACACATCAGAACAACATAAAATCACAATATTTGATCACAATGAGCAGGGCCGGTTGCAGAGCTTAAAAGTTTAAAAACACTGGGTGAGAAAGCAATGTAATGTATCTGGACAGTTAGTGGGATCAAACTGCATTAATTCTACAGTGTAGATGAACTTTCAAGATTACATTATAAAAGGAATAGAGAGAGACCCTTTAAAAAAACCCACAGTCCCCCTTTCCCAACTCCTTTCAGGCGAAGCTGTATCATCCCTTGTCTCCCATTAACAAAAGAGTGGATTCCAGAAGCTGGCACAAAAGGTGGGATGCCCATGGGTCCCTCTACCTTATAATTTGATTTTCAGGTTTCCCCATCCATAGGAAAGAAATGGGATTCTAATCCACATCAGTCATAATGAATGTGACGCCTGGGACTAGAAGCTCTCCCGACTTAATTAAAGCAACAGCAGGAGTCTTAACGTTTGCAAGAAAGGTAGATTATAGGAAATGTTTTTCTGTGCTCTTTGTTATGTTTGACGTTCCTTATGGCTGCCTCTGGCATTAGTGAGCTGAGCATCCCTTTCCCGTCGTCGTCATTGGCACGGATTGCCCTGGGCTCCTTGGCCCCAGACCCTGAGCCTCGCAAAGGAGGGATCAGCAAGGAACTCAGTGTGACAGAAGATACCTTGCACGTGTGAGTATCCTTCGTTCTTGTTGCTGGGTGCCTTTAGATTGTTTGTGACTTGTGGAGGCCTGAAGGCAAACCTAACACACTGTCTCCCGAAGCTAAGAGTATGTGACATGCTCAAGGAGTCACCCGATAGGTTTCCATAGCCAAGCAAGGAATTGATCCCTGATCACCAGAGTCATAGTCCAGTGCTCAAAGCACCATGCCATGCCGACTGTAGCATCATCTGTATGTCTCATGAAACATAAAGAGCTGGCTATTACGATGGAGAGGTATATAGTAGTTCAAAGGGAGACAAATGGGTTTGAAGCCCAAGTGAAGCATCCCCTCATTTTTAATTTTGCCTGTGCTATTCTAATAAGATAATATAATATAATCTATATAAATAAACATGTAATGTTCGTTTGAGGGATTAACAGAACTCAAAAACCACTGGACAAATTAACACCAAATTTGGACACAATACACCTAACAACCCAATTTATGTCCTTCACTCAAAAAAATTGATTTTGTCATTTGGGAGTTGTAGTTGCTGGGATTTATAGTTCACCTACAATCAAAGAGCATTCTGAATTCCACCATTTATGGCATTGAACCAAACTTGGCGTACAGGACTCCCATGACCGACAGAAAACACTTGAAGGGTTTGGTGGGCATTGACCTTGAGTTTGGGTGTTGTAGTTCACCTACATCCAGAGAGCACTGTGGACTCAAATAATGATGGATCTGGACCAAACTTGGCATGAATATTTAATATGCCCAAATATGAACACAGATGGAGTTTGGGGGAAATAGACCTTGACATTTGGGAGTTGTAGTTACTGGGATTTATAGTTCACCTACAAAGAGCATTATGAACATCACCAATGACAGAGTTGGGGCAAACTTCCCACACAGAACCCCCATGAGCAGTAGAAAATACTTAAGGCCATCCAGTCCAACTCCCTTCACCAGGGAAAGAAAACGTAATCAAAGCCCTCCTGACAAAGAGCCATCCAGCCATAGATATAGATAGATATATATGATTCACACACACACAGATAAAGTATTATAGATTTGAAAGGGACTCCTAAAGATGGACAATTATAACAAGACAGGCAGCCTTCGATACCTTTGACCACGGTATCCTTCTGGGACGCCTTGTGGGTATGGGACTTGGAGGTACTGTTTTGTAGTGGCTCTAGTCCTTCTTGGGGGTTGTTCCTAGAAGGTGTTGTAGGGGGACACCTGCTCAGCCCTGCACAAACCTACAAAACCTATCTTGTTCATAACTTCAAGACTGCCTGTATATGAAAATATTCCAAAATTCTAAACCTCAAATGCATCCGGTCTCAAACATTTCAAATACGGGATGCTCAGTCTGTACTTCTGCCGACAGAATGATCCTGAGGGAAAGTCCATTTTGTCTCCTAGCCCTCAGCTTCCCTTGCTAAACCTGCAGGTATTTATTTATTTATTGAATTTATATACCGCTTTTCTGACCCCTGGGGGGACTCAAAGCGGTTCACATCAAATAAATAGCAAATATTCAGTGCCTCTCATACAATAAAGTCAGTATATCACACATCTAAAACAATAATTTTATTTATTTATTTATTTATTTATTTATTTCCTATATTTATACCCCGCTCTTCTCCCTTCGAAGGGAGGAGAATTTAGTAACTATAAATTAAACCATTGAAAACTAGGTTTGTTCTTAGGTTGAATTTGTATGTAAGTCGGAACAGGTACATTTTAACGTGTAACTCTCTCTATACACACACACACACACCCCTTTGGATAGCATAAGGAAGGGTGAACACCCCCGTGGTGTTTCTTTTGCTGTCTGCCCCTGTTCAGATGCAGGCTGTAGGTCACACTTTCATTCTTGCCTTGAAATATTGGGACTACATCAACAGTTATGTATGTATATTCCACTTTTTTTTCGTGTCAGGAGCGACTTGAGAAACTGCAAGTCGCTTCTGGTGTGAGAGAATTGGCCGTCTGCAAGGATGTTGCCCAGGGAATGCCCAGATGTTTTTTTTGATGTTTTTACCATCCTTGTGGAAGGCTTCTCTCATGTCCCCACATGGAGCTGGAGCTGACAGAGGGAGCTCATCTGCGTTCTTCCCGGTTTGGATTCGATTTGGCAACCTTCAGGTCAGCAACCCAATCTTCAAGTCATCGGTCCTGCCGACACAAGGGTTTAACCCACTGCATCACTGGGAACTGCACAATTAAGACTCATGCGCCGACTGCAACCATACCTCGGGAAGGCGGATCTGGCCAGGGTGATCCATGCCTTAGTCACCTCCAGATTGGACTACTGCAGTGCACTCTACGTGGGGCTACTCTTGAAAACGGCCTGGAAATTTCCATTGGTTCAACGAGCGGCGGCTAGGTTGTTAACTGGTGCTCCTTATAGGGAGCGGTCAACCCTCCTGTTTAAGGAGCTCCGTTGGCTGCCATTCATTTTCCGGTCCCAATTCAAGGTGCAAGTTCTTACCTACAAAGCCCTAAATGGTTTGGGACCCGCCTACCTGCATGACCGCATCTCTGTGTACAAACCCACACAATCTCTTCGATCATCTGGAGAGGCCCTGCTCGCGCTCCCACCACCATCGCAAGCGCGATTGGTGGGGACGAGTGAGAGAGCCTTCTCGGTGGTGGCCCCTCGACTCTGGAATTCACTCCCCAAGGACATTAGGCATGCCCCAACTCTGGCAGTCTTTAGGAGGAGCCTGAAAACGTGGTTGTTTCAGTGTGCTTTCCCAGAATAAGGAAACTCCCAGTAATATGTCCCTAAATGCACTTTATTAGTGATCTAGGATTGTCTGCACATTTCATCCCTCTCCAAAACTTCTATCCTAGTTATACGTCACCTGGTCATGCCCAGCATTATTTTTTAAAATTTTAATTATTACATTTGGCCCAGTCATAGGTTTTTAAACGTTGTCGTGTTATTGTTAATGTTTATTGCTTATTTTTTGCTTATGAGTTTATTTATTGTTTTGTATTACTGTTGCTATTGTTTTATTGTTGTATTGTGGGCTCGGCCTCATGTAAGCTGCCCCGAGTCCCTTGGGGAGATGGTAGCGGGGTACAAATAAAGTTTTATTATTATTATTATTAAGTTGGTAGTTTTACTGTAGTTGGGGTTGTACTGTAGTTGGGGGTTGTACAGTAGAATTCACTTCCTGTCTCTTTCTGCTCTTTCTCATCTTATTGCAGATGCTGGAGAGCAGATGAAGCCCGGATCTTGCGTGTTTCTGTCAACTCCTTTCTGGAGCATCTCTCTTTGGTGGTGGAGACCATGGATCTGTTTGGACCTCCTGTGGCTTGAGAAGAACTTGACCTCAACAACAGACTTGGTCCGAGCATATGAATGGCCATTGTCAATAAGGTACTAGACAATCCTTCCATAGAGCAAAGATGTTGGACTTCTAGGGATACTGGTAGACAATTGGGCATCAAAAGTCAAGCTGGGATTACTTTGGTATAAAATTGAGGTGGAAGCAGTGGCCTATTATTTTTTCAGATTGTGTCTCCCATAATCCCTCACCTTTGTGCTATTTGTGGGAGCTGTGATTCAAAAAAGGTCTGGAACTCACAGGTGTATAGAGAGTATAAGAGAGATATGTCAAATCTGTATTTCTCATATATTGCCCAATGCACTTGTGTCAACTGATTAAAGACGTTTGAGCCACGCGTCCGTATTGATTATCCATTATATGTACATAAGCAAAGTTGTAATAAAAGTGCCCTTTCCAGCTTCTGAATGAAGATGATGAGGTCACAAAGTGTGAGAGAATTCTGATGCTCATTGTTTAGGGAAAGGGAAGCCATCTGTTTGTCTGGAAATAGAAACAGGAAAAGCATCAATTCTTTTCATCAAATTTGTCAAGCAGGCAGTGCTGTGAGGCCTGTGAGTTTATGACTGGTGACTTTTTAAGTAAGTGGAGTTGACAGATCTATGATTCTCTTCTTCCGTGCAGCTGCTTTTATGGGTCTGGTTTGCAATGTGCATGAAAAAAGAAACCCAATCAAATTTCCAGATCTAAGCAGCAAACGTATTGCAAGATCCAGGCCTGGTTTAAAATGCATTGAGCATATTCATTCTGTCCTTCCCATT